TAAGTGTATTGGTCTAGGATTTTCTCCTTTGGTCTTTCCTAGGATTTTTCCATTTGCTTTTGCTTTATGCCTTTGGGAGAATAATCAGAAGCTCGTGTACCTGCCATCTGTTTCACCAGTGTACGTGCAAGTTTTGTATAACTTGGGGACCAAAATACAGGGTACATGCAAAAGGGGATTTGAGCATTGATGTGTCCTACAGATTTTGGTCTTTGAATCAGCCTTCACAAATCCTTCAGAGGTCCTATACATGAATTGTGCAGATTGTGATTTGCATTGGTGGAGAGAATGCCCATGTAGATGAAATCCCATCCACCAGTGTATCTCAAATATAGAGCCAATAAATGGGGTATGTATGTGTATGCTTCCCTCCTCCTCCCCACGTAGACTTTACAACAGGTCTGGCATTGGGGTGGGGACTGTGAACACCAGCCCCCCCCCCCCTTCATGGCAGCAGTGATTATTTGTATAGTTAAGATGGCTGTGTCTTGAGAACTGCCTTATGGGACTAGGGAAAATGTGGGTGACTCAGTGCTGCAGTTTATATGTTCTTAAGGCATTATGATGATTAAAGATATATTTTCTGTTTCTTTGTTGTAATATGAGGAAGTTAGCCTTAATAATTTCTATTGTCTCTTCTGTCTTGCCTAGTCTTTTTTTTCCTATTCTATTTTTTTTTTGAGGCAATTGAGGTTAAGTGACTTGCCCAGGATCACACACCTAGTAAGTGTCTGAGGCCAGATTTGAACTTGGGTCCTTCCTGATTCCAGGGCTAGTGCTCTATCCACTGCACTGCCTAGCTGCCCCTTGCTTAGTCCTTTTAACAAAGGAAGTACATTGAGTGACTTAGGTTGTGTAGTTTGTTGTCACATGGTTCTTTGAATTGTATGGGAAGTGAAATTTTAAGTGTGATGTCTGAAGCAGATAATTCAGATTATTAAAAGAAATTAAGGAACCTCCTTTTCTGAAGATCTCGAAGCATAAAAAAGATCCTTTCCTATTTGTTGATTGTGGTTAACAGGGAGCAGGGTAATAAGCTAGATGATCTCTGGAGATTTCTCCCAGTGTTGCAGAGGGATGTAACAATGTTATTATTTTTTATTAAATCATTTTAAAAACCCATCTGTGTACTCTTGCACTTTAGCTTGTTTATGGCTCTTGTGGATGGAAAATTAAAGCACAGGTGACTATGCCACAGATGACTTAGCATATTCCACATCCTCTCCCTTGACACCAGGGAGAGCTTATTATTTTTTTTTCTTAATGACATCAACTACAAAGATAGGAACCCAAATTTCATATCTGATATACTAGACAGCTTAAATATGTTCCCTTGGTGGGCAAGGTCTAAATTCCTTTGAACTCTTTGGGAGGAAAAAAATGGCATATTGTTACCAATAGTCCAATCTTTTCAAATTCCATGTTAGCATTCTCTGCCACCCATTATGAATACTACCCCTAGAAATGATTTGGAAGTTTAATTGACTTTCCTTTCCAGCAAGCTAGAGGACTATATTTTTGCCTAAATATATTTTTGATAGACAGAATATTCTACCCTAGTTCTCATTTAGCCTCTTGAAGAAAGTCAAGGAAATTAAAGGCATTGGGGGCAGCCAGTGCAAAGGCTGGAGATGGAGAGAGAACACTTTGTGAGATGATCAGTATGGATGGACCATAAGGAATATGGAGAGAAGTAGCATGGAAGAAGACTGGAAAGATTGGAAGAAGCCAGATTGTAAAGTATTTAAATGCCAAAAGGACTTTATAGTTGATCCCAATGATAGCAGAGAGCCACTGGAGTTTATTGAATAGGGTAGTGTCATGGTAAGACCTGTGCCTCAGGAAAATTAGGAAAAGACTGAATGGAGGATATATTTGAGTGGGGAGAGACTTGAGGCAGGAAAACCAGTTAGGATGCTGTTACAATGGTCCACATGAGAGGTGACAGTGGCCTGAACTAAAGTGGTGGTTATGTAAGTGGGGAGAAGGAGACAATATATAAGAAATGATGTAGAGAAAAATAATACTTGGCAACTGATTGGATATATAAGGCGGAATATGACAGTGCAGTTTGTAATCAGGGTAACTGGTAGGACGGTGGTACCCCTGACAGTAATAGGAAAGTTTGGTAGAGAAGTGGGTTTGAAGGGAAAGATGATGACATCTGTTTTGGACATACTGAGTTTGATATACATATGGGGCAGCCCATTTGAAATGTCCAATAAGCAGTTGTTGATGCAAGACTTGGGCTCGGGAGACGCTAGGGCTACATATATAGAGCTGGGAGTCATCTGCATAGGTGATAATGGAGCCATGTGCGATGATGAGAAATCACCAAGTAAGGAAGTGTAGAGAGAAGAGGACCCAGGACAAAGCCTTAGGCAACACCCACAGTTAGTGGGTATGACATGGATAAAGATCCAGCAAAGGATACTGAGGAGAAGCAGTCAAACATAGAAGGAAGAGAATCAAGTGAGAGAGCAATTTCACGAAAGCTCAGAAAATAAAGTATAGCCAGGAGGAGAAAGTAGTTGGCGATGCCAAATACTGCAGAGATGTCAAGAAGGGTGTGCATTAAGAAAAAGCCGTTAGATTTGGTAATTAAGTTGTTGGTAAATGCAGAGAATAAATTCAGTTGAGTGGTGAAGTTATACTGTGTGAAAGTACTGATAATATAATTTTTAAAAATCTGAAGCGAGGAGGAACTAAATAAGCATGCATACCTTCAGAAGACCTCTAAACTTTTTGAATCTATCTCTTTTGGAAACTACTCAACTGGTTTGCTGATCTAACATTTACAATTATTTGTGCTTTTCTTATATCTCTTTTTTGAACAGTTCTTATATTTTCTTCTGTGGCCATGGTGACCAAGTAGTTATTTTTGCTCCACTAATATTAATAGCTAACATTTACCAAGTACTTTAGGGTTTGCAAAGCATTTTGCATAGATTATTTCATTTGAGCCTTACAAGAGTCTTGTGAGGTTGGTACTGCAGCTATTTTACAGATGAGGAAACTGATGTTCAGAGAGTTGATGTGATTTGTCTGTAGTCACAAAGCTAGCTAGTGTCAAAAGTAGGATTCAAACCAATGTCTACTTGATTCCACATTGAACACTTTATCCATAATGCCAAAGTAACTTCAAAACATCTTCTATTTAGATATCAAAAGCTAAAGAAGTTTAACTTTTAGGCTTCTTATAGCTAATCTTTTATTCTGATCACTAACTTTAGTTTTCCTCTTATCTGTTTATGAGCATTTAAATCCATTGGTTAGAAAGAGATGCTAATGAAACCAGAGCTATACCTTTAATCACTTAACTAGCAAGTTAGTATAACCAAAAGGAAAAATCATATTTTGTGACCATCAGTCATGCGTCTCATAATCTCATATTACTGATTCCTCTAAGGCATACCTCATATAGAAGGCAAAAGATTACAGATGGCTCTAATGCACAGACATCACTATTAGTGGGGAAAAAGGTTACTAATGGCCAACCAGTAAAATAATTATTATTATGAAGTATGTATGTATAAATTTGTTTCATTCAACTTTTTTCTAGTATGATGTCTAAAACAAGATACAGAACTCTTATTGAATATTGGTTTATATTTCTATTAAACAAAGAACATTGCTTAACCTGAAGTGACCCTGAAAGGCATATGAAGTTATCATTTATTGCGCACATAATTGAATTATTACAAATGATAATTAAGCTGATTCGAGGTATCCAGCAGATATACCCAACATAAAGTTGTAATAGCACAGTAATAATACTGATAAAATATTTGTTATATAAAAGTATAACAAATTTAAAGTCATGAAACTCCATTGTAACATTTAATTATAACAATTTCATGATGTTCCTATGAAATAAACTACTCCTCATAACATTGTTTCACTTAGTGTGTTTCTATATTATTATGTCATTATTTACATTGTATAAATATTATATTATCATTTGTTCTTTTGCATTTTCTTGCCGTTATTTTCTAACTCACTATCTTAGAACCAAGTACTTCTGAAAAATCTATTTTTCCCCATTGATCAGGTATGATTCCTGTCCTCTGAAAGTATTTAAATAGGCTATTCTTCACATATATATACATATGTAAATATATACACACATATATGTATATATACATATATGTATATACATATATATGTATGTATGTGAAGAATATACATATATATGTATACACACACACACACACACACACAAATATGCCAGCTTTGCTGTATTTCCCATATTGTTTAAGCTCACATTGGTCAAAGTACCTTTGTTCCACAGTGGCACGTGCAAACCATGTGAAATACCATTCTCTGTCCAACTAATTTAACAATTCCAAATGATAATTTTCATTTTTGGTCTAGATCTGTTTTTTTTTCATCTGTATAGAGAAGTTTCTGTGTGCAGAAGTTGTTCACTGATGTATATTTGCAGCTCTTCTTAAAGAGTCATTTAGGGGTACTAAAATATTACTTGACTTGCCCATGTTCACACAGCCAGAGTGAGGCCGAGGCAGGACTTTTCCACAGGTCTTCCTGACTCCAGTATTCCCACCCACACTACACAACACTGTTTCTGTAGCACTTCATGTAAAAGAAAAGATAATTATGAATGCCTTTCAGATTCACTGCAAATTAGACAAGATTTTTCTTCAATAGTATTTTAAATATATAAATATTTTCCATGCAGTTCAACAAAGAACTATTCCCATTTACTATGTCAATATTATGTCTGTAGGTGCTTTGTTTTGTTTTTTGTTGGCTTTTAGGGAGACAATCAGGGTTAAGTGATTTGCCCAAGGTCATACTGCCAGTAAGTGTTTGAGGCCAGAGTCTTTCTGACTCCAGGGCTAGTGCTCTGGAGGGTAAATTTCTAGACTTGGAAGTAAGGAGACTGGAACAGACTTCTAATTTCATTTCAGACTCATTCAGCCAAATTCTCTCCTTTGTGCATACTTAGGTATGTAAAAGAAAAAAAAGAAACAATGAGATAAAACCCTTGTGCTTTATTTTTTAGAGTGTAAATGCCCATACTTTGTCTTCACTTTCCAAAATAAAAATGGAAGCAACCCTTAGTTGATACCATTTTTATACCATTAACTTAATTCATTCTTTAGCTTTGCAAACCTTGATTAAAAATAACAGTAACTCTTTTGAACAGAAGAATTTTCTAAGCAGTGTATCTACAATCAGTTTTTGCCCACACATTTGAGATTGATCCATGTTAACGGAACACTGCTAACATATATTGCATCCTAAGGTGAAGGGAAATACCTTTATTATTAGGGTCCACATCTACTAAAAGGCGGCTATAAAATGTGAATTTCAACCTATCCTGTGCCAAGTGGTAATGGCACAAATGTATGCTGCATTCAAAAGTGAGAGTGCCAATGAAAGGCAGGAGTTAGCAGATTGCTACTGAACAGCTTTGCTTTTTAGGATGAGAGTAGTCATTCATGTAACTCCTACAAAAAGTCTGAATGTTGACCTTTTTTTTTCAGTGATTGTACCAAGTAAATTAGAATGGAAACCTACGAGGGTAGCCTTTGCCTTTGAGAACATGCTGCTATAATTATAAGAATAAAAATATTATCTTTGCAAAAAGGACAAGCCATATTTTCCGTAGTCTCTCCAAAACATCACTAAAGGTGATTGGTGACTACATTTTGGCTTGTGGTTTTAAAGCCCTGTGTAAAAGGAAACAATGTCCATTATTAAAATATGCCTGAGTATTAAGTCAGATGAAGATACTATCATCTCTAAATTTCTTGTCCTTAGATGTGGCCCACAAGTTTATTGTTGTTGCTTTTGTTAATGTTAATAATAAATACATTTGAAAATCCTATGCTTCAATGGATTTCTCAGATAAGGACTGAAGTAAGTCCTTATAAAGAGCAGAGTTCATAAATCGGGGATATGAGTCTCTGTGCATTAAGGTATAAATTTGAAGTTGTGCATCATCAAATGTATGTTGTGATGGCTCTAGCATGTTCCTGTTGATAACTTCTCTTACTCGGGAATCCAGGCTGACCTGTGGATAGAAACAAATTATGTCAGCATTAGGCTCTGAATTGTTCCATTTCTTATCCTGTCTCCATCTTATTAACTTTCTTTTTCCATTCTCAAGTCTCTTTTGGAATAAAAATAAAGAACTCCTCCCCAGTATCTAACATAACAAAATTTGAAAGCATGTTTGTCATTTTCTTAAAACACAAGCACACACACAAAAGGAAAATGTATAGTCAGCATGACATGTTGGTTAGAGTGCTTGCTGCTTTTAGAGTTGGGAAGACTTGGTCTTGTTAGAGGTCTTGATCTCTAGCTTTATGACCATGGGTTAAATCATTTTGTTTAACTTGTCAGAGACTCAGGAATCTCTTTAATTCATACTTATGAGGTAACAAGTTACCATATGTTGATAGTGGGAGTTTCCATGCAGAGGAAATCACAGATCCTTGCCATAGTTAAGAAAATAAAATTTTCCTTCTTTTGAAGGCTCTGAACATTTTTCTAGAGCACTGATAATTAGGTTGCTCACCCTCTGTGTTTCTGTAGAGCAGGAGAGCTGTATGCATAGGCTTCACCTACCACTTTCTGAAGTAGTGGGATGAATATTCATATCCCGAAGCTCATAGGCATAGTTATGCTAAAGGATAATAGAGCCCTGGGAATTGCTGCCAATGACTGATGTATTTGGTAGGATCAATGAAACTGCCTTCTGTGTTTCCCTGTTAGCTGACAGACTGGAGCATATCATTGTGGATAGAATGCTAGACTTGGAGTCAGGAAGCCCTGGGTTCAAATCTTGCTTTGGATACTTACTAGCTATGTGACCCTGGGCAAGTCACTTAAACTCTCTTAGCTTCCCTTTCATTTCTCTAAAATGAGGGAGTTGAGGGGGCAGCTAGGTGGCGCAGTGGATAGAGCACTGGCCCTGGATTTAGGAAGGACCTGAGTTCAAATCCGGCCTCAGACACATAACACTTACTAGCTGTGTGACCCTGGGCAAGTCACTTAACCTCCCTTAGCTTCACTTTCATTTCTCTAAAATGAGGGAGTTGAACTTGGCTTATCAGGACCCTTCTAGCTCTAAATCTATGATCTCTCATCCATATCCCACTATACAGGCAAGCCAAAGCTACCAAAAGTATATGAAAGCTTCCAGCATAAGTCAAGACTCTAAAAAAAAAAAGCACTTTTTCCAGTTCTAATGGGTCTGTGCTCAAACACTAGAAGAAATTTATAATAGTAAGTGATCTGTAAAGTAGTATTACATGTATACGCTGTATTTATATGCAATATGTACAAATATAGTTATCTTTAACTTTCAAATTATCATTCAATGATTTTCCTATTATTAAAGAAGATGTGGAAGGGTCAGTGTATGGAGGAATTTAACAGACCTGCCTAAGGGTGGCAAGGGCATTGAGAGAGTGAGCTCTTTGTGAGAGATCTTCCAGCACAGACCTTCACACTTATCTAGGATACTGCAAAGGAGATTCTCTTTTCCACTCTCAGTTGGATTACGTGACCTTTGAGGTCCCTTCCAAATCTGTAGATTTTATGATACTATGATACATTATAGAAATCACCTGTCATCACAAAACATGGATTTGAATCCTGGCTCACACATTTGCTAGTTGTGTGATCATGAGCCAATTAGTTGTCTTAACTTCAGTTTCCTTATTTATGAAAATGAAGATAATAAAAGATAAAATAAATAAATGACAATGAAAATAACCTATGCCACAGGCTTGTAAGTAAAGTGCTTTATAAAACTTAGACTCAATGTACATAAGAATTGTCATTATTATAATAAAGTGTGTGTCCTGGGAATCAAGGCCCTTGCTTGAGATCTCCTGGGCAAGGTGGCCTCCTCATTCCTACAATTAATGAGGATAATGAAGAGAAGACCCTGGATCTAGCATTGATGAAATCTTCTTAATTAGGTATGAAACTGTTTTGCCTTAGGTACTAATTGAGCCACTGACACCATATCAAGGACAACTGAGTATATGTAGCTAATTATGCACCTAAGCTACACAGTTAAACTTGGCCTTTAAAAGGAAAGCAGACACAGATAGAAACAGAACCAGAGCTAAGATGGCCAAAAAGAAGCCATTTCACTCCAGTTCCCTGAGCCCCAGAGGTGACAATGGAAGGAGGCAGTATTAGCGCAGGAGATAGTTTAATGGCCAATGGGGGCGGGGAGGGGTAGATCCCTGAATCTCTGAAGCAAAAGGAAACTCAGTGTCGAAGTCCTGGGCAGTTAGTTAGCACTGTAGATAGAGGGTTGGGCATGGAGTCAGGAAGATCTGAGAGGCAACATGGTACAGTGGGAAAGAACACTGCAGGGATCATAAGACTTGGGTCCAAGTCCTGGCCCCACCACTTACCTGTGTGATCTTGGGTGAGTAGTCTAACCTTTCTGGGCCTGAGTTTTCTCATCTGTTAAGTGAGGGTTTTGTACAATATGGCCTACCCAGCCCCCTTCCAACTCGAAATCTATGATCTTCTGAGAGCCGGAAATTGAATCTTGCCTCACACGCTTACGAACTGTCTGACCCTGGGCAAGTCACTTAACTACTATTTGCCTCAGTTTTCTTATCTGTAAAATAAGGATAATGATAGCGCCTACTCCCAGGGTTGTTGTGAGGATCAAATGAAAAAAAGTTGTAAATTGCTTTGCAAACTTTAAAGTATCACGTAGGTAGTGTGATATAGTGGATGCAGTGCTGGACCTTAAGTCAGGAAAACCTGAGTTCAATTTTGCCTCAGACATTTATTTGCTGTGTCATCCTGGGCTCTTAAACGCAGGGAGTATCCTTTCTTTTTTTATTCCTTCCTTCCTTCCTTCCTTCCTTCCTTTCTTCCTTCCTTCCTTCCTTCCTTCCTTCCTTCCTTCCTTCCTCTTTCTCTCTCTCTCTCTCTCTCTCTCTCTCTTCTCTCTCTCTCTCTCTTTCTTTCTTGCTTGCTTGCTTGTCTCTTTCGCTATATTTGTATTCCCAGAAAACAGCATAGTGTAGTAAGCATTTAATGAAGACTTGTGATCATTGCCTGTTTTCCCATCTACAAAATGGAGATGAGGGGTTGCACTTGATGATTTCCGAAGCCCTTTCCAACTCTAATTCTGTGATCCTGTAGCCCAATGCATATGCAAACAGCAATTTCTTCCAAAACACACCTGACAAATTGTCATCTATCTGGCCTTTGAAGAGCAAAGGTGAAACCCCTTACCTCCCAATGTAGATCATTTAACTTCTGTAATATTCTAGTTCTTAGGAATTTTTTTCTTACATAGCACCTAATTTGCTGATTTGCAACTTTTTTTCTGTTGCTCCCAGTTCTGTCGTCTGACTCCAAGCGAAAGTCTGATTCTTCTTCCACATTTATCCATTTGGAATTTTTGTGGCATATTGTGTGTTTTCTTTCTAGAGTTTTGGGCCAAATGGAGAAATTTTAAGACTTAGAACCCTAGACACAGAGAAAGAGTTCTTGGACAATGTTTAGTTGTTGGACCCAATAGAAGCAATAGCTGAGGACTCCAAGGGACAAAGCCATGATATAGGAAAGCCTTCTGATACTGTGATTCAACATGGGCTGTGCTATTATGGCAGAAAGGGGTTGACTGTAGTGAATTCAAGTGCTTTGCCCTTTTGGGGAAGCTCTCAGCCCTAGGCTTATACTATAAATCTGGAAGACTTAGGTCCCTGAGGGAAGGTGAAGTACACTGGGAGATGTGGATTTTTTTTTTAATCTCTTTAGCAAGCTCAAAAGCTTACCCCTTGGAATGGGCCTTGGAAAGGGCCTCAACTTTAGAGTAGTACTGTAAGTCTGAAGGATCACATAGGTCCCTTAGGGAGGTCAAGGACCACTGGAAAGGGAAGGAGAAAGAAGAGAAGGAAGGAAGGGTGGAAAGAAGTATGGAAGGGTGGAAGGAAGGAATTAACAAAGGACAAAGGAAGGAAGAGAAAATGATTTTACTCAGGTCCAAAGACAGAAATTGGACATATCCTCCAGAATGCTGGACCTCTAATGTCAGAACAAGAAAAGTATACATGCCTACACAATTGGAGAGAGTGATGTTATTAAACTGACACCTTTGAGAGAGTTTAACTAATAGAAATAGTCTAGGGAATTATCTCCTACCTCTTTAGGAGAAAGAATGGAAATATAATCTTCATATATCAGCCTTGCTTTCTCTTCTATGACACTTTTGTTGGCCTCCTGTTTCAGTTCCTCACAGGCCATCCAAAAGAGCATATTTTCTTCACTGAATTCTGTTCGGAGGAACTCCCGGAAAATGTTTCTTCCTGCTGGAGTGACCATTAACTTGTCAAATGACTGAGCCCAGGCATTCACTTCTTCCAGAGTAGGTGTAGGGCTTGGGAGACAACCCCAAAAAATAGTAGAAAGGAAGAGAAATTAATAATTGTTCATCTTAGTTCTACTGTTAGAAACAATATCCACCTCCCTCCTAACAGAAAGAAACTATGTATACATAGGAAGGAAAAGGCCTATTTAGTGTGAATTTTTCTCATCCTTGGGCAATCAATGTACTTCAATATGTTATTTTCATAGCATCTGAATGAACTGTTTAGGTAGGACTAAAATGTCTGTAATCCAAAGTTGCTGGATTATTGCTCAGAAATGGATATTTTGACCATTAACTACTGCCTTCAAAAATGGGAAAATGAATTTGGTAGTTTTTTATGTTATAATTTTCTAGTTGCTTCTATTTTTCCTCATTCATTCTATTTCTTATGTGTTTGTGAGTACAAAGGCTAATAGTATCTTAGTCTCATATCTGAAACAACATTTACTTTTATTTACATATGAAACCATAATTGTCAACAAACATCATTCTATTGGCTTTCTTGAAACTTTTTTTTAAGACCTATATTTTAGACTGAATATAGTTGGAATTTGGCAGCTAAGTGGTTCAGTTGATAGAATATTGGATTTGTAGTCTGGAAGCCCTGCTTTTGAATCCTGTCTCAGAAACTTACTAGTTGCATTATCCTAGGTTATTCTTAACTTCTCCTGACCTAGCCCCACTTTCCTCCTCTGTAATGGTACTCTACCTAAGGTTGTTATGAGGATCAATGAAAAGCGCTATATAAAATAGCTACTGCATTTGGTAAGACAGCATAAATTTGCTGCTAAGGAAAACGTGTTTTCTACAATGTCTTCATAAAAGTCATTTGCTTGGAAAGCAAATCATTTTTTCCAGCTCAGGACAGCTTAGGAAGACAGACAGAGAGGTCTGTAGATGTTAGGGACAGAGTCTGGCCAGGAACACACCATTTAGCACCCTGGGACTAAAAGAGAGTGAGACTGCTGTACCAGGGCAAGGACAGATACCAAGGGATCCCTGAATTAGTGTGGGGTGCAGGAATAGGTGCCATCTGGCAGCTCTGTGGCTCACTACCCAGATCTGGGTCATAGATCCAGGGCAGAGAGGATGAGAGTGGTCCCAGAGGAATGGTTGTTAGTAAGGCCCTAGCTACATACTGAACAAGGAATAAATTCTGGAAGCAAACAATAGCTGTGTGGCTCTGATCCCAAGAGCAGAGTTTGTAGTCCACGTATAAACCTGCAGTGGAATTTCCAGGACAGAAGTCCCAGATCAGAGGGGAGAGCCTGCAGTTCACTTGTTCTGAACCCACAGAACCTCCCAGCAGGCTAATAGTGGCTGAGCCCGGGAGCAGTGTACTGAAACTCCCAACCAGGAACAAGCCAACAGATCCAAACCTGGGTCAGGAACTTGTAGAACTTAGACCAGGGAGGGCAGTGAGTAGATTTCATTCCAGATCACATCACTTTAGGAGGACTGAAAACTTGCAGATTCCTAGCCTGAGCTGTGCAAACAGCAGAAGGATATAAGAGAACAGAAACTCAGATCAGACTCCTCTCCCTCCCCCCATCCAGAAGTGCACAAAGCCCAGAACTAACAAAAGAGTCCAATGTCAAGAAGTAGGCTGGAAGAAAGCAAAGTATCATACCATAAAGAGCTATTAAGAGCTATTATAATGACAGGGACACAAACCCAGAAGAAGAAAATGTGTCAAAAATATCTAAGCAAAACCTAAAGACAAAAAACAAACAAACAAACAAAAAAAACCAGGCAGCTTGGACAGAAGTTCAACAAGAATTTCTGGAAGAATAAAAGCAAGATTTTTTTAAAAAGCTGAAAAATGATTTTAAAAAAACAATAAGAACAAGAAAAATGGGAAAAGAAATGAGAGCAATGGAAGAGATATGTGGAAGAAGTATTAATAGCTTAGAACAAGAAGTACAGAACTTCACCTAAGAAATTAATTCCTTGAAAATTAGACTTGACCAAATAGAAGCCAGCGACTCAATGACACATGAAGAAATAATAAAACAAAGTCAAAACGTTGAAAAAAATAAAAGAAAATATAAGGTAACTCATAGCAAAAACACCTGACCTAGAAAATAGATCAAGAAGAGATAACTTAAGAATCATTGAATGACTTGAAAGCCATGACCAAAAAAGAGCCTAGATATCATATTTCAAAAAATCATAAAAAAACCCCACTACTCAGATCTCTTAGAACTAGAGGGCAAAGTAGAAATGGAAAGAATCCACCAGTTACCTTCTGAAAGAAATCTCCCAAATGAAAACTCCCAGGAATATTATAGCCAAAATCTAAAGCTCTTAGGTCAAATAAGAAATACTGCAAGCAGCCAGAAAGAAAGAATTCAAGAACACAGTTAGGATGACATGAGATTTAGCAGTCATCACTTTGAAGGAAGAGAAACTTGGAATACGATATTCCATAAAGTAAAATATCTAAGATTACAACCAAAATAACTTATCCAACAAAACTAAATATAATCATACAGGAGGAAAAAATAGGCCTTTAATGAAATAAAGGACTTCTAAGTATTCCTGATGAAAGGATTGGCACTAAGTAGAAAATCTGACGTACAAACACGGGAGTAAAGAGAAGAATCAAAAGGTAAACATGAGTGAGCAATTATAAGGGACTAGACTGAGTTAAATTCATCATCTGGGGTCCTATAAGGAGTGTAATTAGACTCAGGGCCTAAGAATGATTCTAAAGGACCCACACGCACAAAAATATTTATAGTTGCTCTTTTTGTGATGGCAAAGAATACTGTTGTGCTATAAAAAATGATGAACAGGCAGATTTCAGAAAGACCTGGGCATACAGGAACTGTTGCTGAATGAAGTAAGATTGTACACCACAACAGCAACGTTGTATGATGACCAACTTTGATAGATTTAGCTCTTCTCAGAAATACAATGATCTAAGACAATTCCAAAAGACTCATGATAGAAAATGCTATTCACATCAGAGAAAGAACTGTGTAGTCTGAATGCAGATTGAAGCATATTATTTCCTCTTTTTTTCTTTTTCTTTTTTTTCTTTCTTGTGGGGTTTTTCTTTTTGTTCTGATTCTTCTTTTGCAACATAAATGATGTAGAAATATGTTTAATATGATTGTACATGCATATCCTATATAAAATTGCTTTCCATTTTGGGGAGGGAGAAAAAATTTGGAACTCAAAATCTTATAAAAGTGAATGTTGAAAACTATCTGTACATGTAATTGGAAAAAATACTATTAACCGGGGGAAAATAAAAATAGAAAAGTGCTCATAAAAAAAAGAATGTTTCTGTTATATTTAGGTCATCTGAAAAGAAGAATTGAAAGAGTGGGGAAGAGGAATGCACTGGGGGAGGCGGGAAGGAAGAAGAATGGGGAAAATTATCTCACATAAATGAGGTGAGCAAGTAGAAGTCTATACAAAAAGGAGAAGAGGGTGGAGGAGAATGAGCAACACTTAAACCTCATCCTCATCTGACCTGGTAACAGAGGGATGTATGTGCATGCATATGTGCAAGTGCACACACACACACACACACACACACACACACACACACACACACACATGCTTGAGGACAGGAAAACGTTTTACCTACTGGGAAAGGGGAAGAAAGGAAATAAAGGGAGAAGGGAGAATTAGAAGGAAGGTAGAAAAGGGTGGGATTAGGCAAAAGCAAAACAATCTCTTAAAGAGGGACAGGAAAAAGCCAGCCAGACTATCATTTGCTGCTTCTCTTTCTTTGCGAACACTTTTATGTTAACATTAGTTCTGAACTTCATTTTCCCAAAGCACCTACTCTGAAGATTCTAGCATTCATCTTATTGTGGGCAGTTTTTGTATTGCAACTGTCATTGTTATATTTGAAAAGGAAGCTTGCATAATTCATTTTTGTAAGAATAAGTAACCAAATAAAATAAATAAATAACAGGATGTATGGATAAATAAAAAAGAGCGACAACAAAGACGAGACGAAAAAGTAGATGAAGAGAAATACAGTTAGCAATCATAACTGTAAATGAGAAAGGGATGAACTCACACACAAAAAGAAAAAGGATTAAAGACCATTATCCAATGATACACTGTTTACAAGAAACACATTTGAAATAGAAAGATACATGCAGAATTAAAATAAGAGGCTGGAGCAGAATTTATTATGCTTCAGCTGAATTTCTCAAAGGCAAGGATAGAAATCATGATCTCAGACAAAACAAAAAGAAAAAGAGACCTAATTAAAAGCAACAAACAGGGAAACCACATTTACTAAAGGATACCATAGACAATGAATTAACATCAATACAAAACATATATGCACCAATAGCATTGCTTTAAAATTCTTAAAGGGAAAGTTAAATGGATTATAGGAGGAAAGACAGAGCAAAACTATTATCGTGGAGGACCTCAATTTATCCCCTCTTAGGCCAAGATAAGTCTAACAAAAAATAAGCAAGAAAAGAAATAGAATAGAATTTTAGAATAGTTAGATATGATAGTCCTTTGGAGAATATTGAATGGGAATCAAAAGGTGTATACCTATTTCTCAGCTGTGCATGGCACCTTCACAAAAATTGACCATGTATTAAGGCATAACAGTGGGGCAGCTAGATGGTGCAGTGGATAGAGCACCGGTCCTGGACTCAGGAGGACCTTAGTTCAAATCTGGCCTCAGACACATAACACTTACTACCTGTGTGACCCTGGGCAAGTCACTTAACCCCATTGCCTAGCCAAAAAAGAAACAACAACAACAACGACAACAAGGCATAACAACTTCACAAACAAATGGAGAAGAGAAGAAATATTAAATGCATCTCTTACTGACTAAAATGCTATAAATTACATTCAATAAAGGGCCTTTGAAACAAAGATTAAACCATAATTAGAAACAAAGTAACAATCCTAAAGAATTCATGGGTCAAATAACAAATCATAGACATAATAAATAACTTCAAATTTCAATCAATATGAAAACAGATAGCATATCAAAATTTGTGAGATGCAGCCAAAGCAGTAGTTAGGGGAAATTTTATATTTCTAAATGCTTTTATCAATAAAAGAAAGAACAAATCAGTGAAATTGGCATGCAACTAAAAAACAAAAGAAACCCCTAGAAACACAACAATTATTAAACACTCGACTTAAGCATCAAAATAGAAATCCCTGAAATCAAAGGTGAGATTAACAAAATTGAAAGCAAAAGAAGGATTAACTTAGTAAATGAAACCAGGACTTATTTAAAAGAAAAAACAACATCCCCATGAATAACAAAATAAAACAGACAAGCCATTCACTAAATTTATTTCAAGAAACAAAAGAAGGAAACTAAATGGCCGGTATCAAAAATGAGAAGGCTGAATTCATAACCAATGAAGGAGAAATAAAAGAAATTATTAGGGATTGTTTCACCCAACTAAGTGCTATTAAAACTGATAATGTAAGTGAAATAGATGAGTGTTCACAAAAAAATGTTAATTGCCCAGATCAACAAAACAAGAACTAGAGAGCTTCAGTAACTCGGGGGGGGGGGAATTGAACATGCCAAAAATTAACTTTCAAAGACAAAAATTCCAGGACCAAATGGATTTACAAGCGAATTTAAAGACAATTAATTCTAGTACTACATTAAGTGTTTAAAAAAAAATAGGAAAAGATGAGTTCCTACCAAATTTCTTCCATAATACAAATATGGTCTTTATTTCAAAACCAGAGAGATTCAAAAACAGAAAGAAAACCATAGGCTAATATTCCTAACAAATATTGATGCAAAAAAAAATTAAATAAAACCTTAGCAAGGAGACTACAACATGTCAGAAAGATTAAACACACTACCACCAGGCTGGATTTATACCAAGATTGCAGGACTGGTTCCATATCAGGAAATCTATGAATACAATAGGCTATATTAATAATAAAAACAACCAAAATTATATGATTATGTCCATTGATGCAAAAAAAGCTTTTGACAAGATACAATACCCATCCCTGTTAAAACTCTAAAAATTATAGGAATAAGTAGAACTTCCCTTAAATTGATAAACTTTATCTACCTAAAACTAAGAGCTAGCATTTTCTGTAATGGAGATAAGCTAGAGACCTTTAGGGGTAAAGCAAGGATGTCTATTACCAGAAATGATATCTACAGCAATAACAGAAGAAAACTAAACTGAAGGAATAAGCATAAGCAAAGAGGAACTGAAATTATTGCTTTTTGTAGATGATGTGATGATTTATTTAGTGAATACCAGAGAATCCACTACAACACTAATTAAAACAATAAACTACTTCATCAAAGTTTTAGGATATAAAATAAACCCACAAAAATCATAAGCATTTTTGATATTACCAAAAAACCTAGCAAGAAGAGATAGAAAGTGAAATTCCATTTAAAATAACTACAGATAGTGTAAAATATTTTGGAGTCTACCTGCCAACATACACACAAGAACTATATGAACAAAACTACAAAACTACAAAAGATAATTTTAAATAATTGGAGAAATATAATTGCTTATGGTAGGGCTGAAACATGTAATAAAAAATACTACCTAAATTAATTTGCCTATTCAGTGTCATATCATACCAACCAAACTACTGAAGTATTACTCTATAGAACTAGAAAAAAAATAACAAAATTTATCTGGAGGGACAAAAGTTCAAGAATATTAGGGAAATTAATTTTTTAAAAAAGTGGGAAAGAGTGGAGCCTGGCAGTACCAGAATCAGACCATAATAGAAAACCATAATCATTACAACAATTTGGTACTGGGGTGAGAAATAGAGTGATTGATCAGTGGAACAGATTAAGTACTAATAATATATAGAAGCAAATGAGCACAGTAGCCTAATGTTTGATGAACCCAAAGGTCCCAGCTTTTGGACAAGACCTCATTATTAGACAAAGACATTTGGGAAAACTGAAGAGCAGGTTGGCAAAATTTAGGTATTAACATTTCACAATGCATATCAAGACAAGCTCCAAATGGGTTATATAATTTAGAAATAAAGGATGACATCATAAACAAATTAGAGGATCATGGAAGAAATTACCTGGCAGATCTATGAATAGAGGAAGGGTTCATGACCAACCAAAAGATAGAGGGGCTCACATGAGATAAAATGGACAATTTTGATCACATAAAATTAAAAATTAGAGGAGAAGTTGGAAATCGTGTGTGTATGGCGGTGGAATCTTTGCAAAAAGCTTCCCTAGTAAAGATTACATTTCTAAGATATATAGGGAATTGAGCCAAATTTGTAAGAATAAAATCCATTCCTTAATTGTTAAATGGTTAAAGGATATGAATAAGTTATTTTCAGAGGAAGAAATCCAAGCTATCAGTAGTCATATGAAAAAATGTTCTAAATCACTAATAATGAGAGAAATGAACATTAAAACTACTCATAAGGTACCACCTTATATCCTTCAGTTTGGCAAAGTTGACAAAAAGGAAAATGACAAATGCTGGAAGAGCTATGAGATAACATATATTAATGTACTCTTGGTGGAACCATGAAGTAGTCTAGCCATTCTGGAAAGCAATTTGGAACTATGCCCAGAAAGCTATTGAACTGTGCAAACCCTTTGACCCATCAATACCAACTATGTCTATACTATGTCTAATAGTATATCTATGCATCAAAGAAATCAAAGGAAGAGGAAAAGGACTGATATGTACAAAATATTTGTAACAGCTCATTTCATGGTGAATTGGAAACTGAATGTCCATCAATTGGTGAATGGCTGAACAACTTATGGTATAAGTATGTGATGAAGTACTACTGTGCTGTAAGAAATAATAAAATAGATAGTTTCAGAAAAACCTGAGAAGACTTTTATGAACTGATGCAAAGTAAAATGAACAGAACCAAGAGAGCAATTTATACAATAACAACAATATTATAAGAAAAAGCAGCATTTAAAAACTTGGGAATTTTGACCAACATAATGGAACCAACCACAATTCTAGAGGACTCATGATAAAATGTGCTATCTACCTGTAAATAGAGAGATGAGTGTAGACTCAGAGTGTAGGCTGAATTTTTTTTGTTTTTGGTTTGGGCATGGCTAATGCAGGAATTTGTTTTTCTAGAGTATAAATATCTGTAACAGGTATTGTTTTTCTTGCTTTCTCAGTTGGTTAGAGAGGCAGTGATGATTGGGATCAGGGGAGAATTTGGAGCTGAAATTGAATTTTAAAAATTGAATTAAATTGAATTGAATTTAAAAAAATTAAAGTAAAAAGTAAAAAAGGAATAACATAACTTTTCATTTTTGTACACCATAACCAGCCCCTTGTGAGTATTTTTGGTATTATAGTACATCCTATCTAAATGTTAGATTTTTACCTTTCTTCACAGGTTGGAAGTCCTTCTGTTCTGAGTTCATAGGAAGCCCTCCTTGCTCTTTCATCTTCTTGGTTCCTAACAGTAAGACTGTAAGGAACAACATGTTCACAAGTCAAGTTCAGATAAACCTATATTCATACAATTATCTTTAATACTAACTATAAATGAATTTCAAGTGTTTAAGCAGAATTCCTCCCCTTTTTCAAAAAAATAACCTAGATTTTTCTTTCTCCATGCAGACTAGATTAAAATGGCTCAGCATTAACAAAATGTGCAACCTTAATAACATTATAAAATAAATTGAGTAATTATAACTTTACATTCATGTCATTGTAGTCATTGTCTATACGGTTTTTTATAGTCAGGTAGGTGGCATAATGGATGGAGCAGTGGGCCTGGAATCCAGAAGACCTGTGTTCAAATCCAGCTGCATTTTATGGGGAGCTAGGTGTCTCAGGGATATAGTGCTGGGCCTGAAGTCAGGAAGGCCTGAGTTCAAATTTGGCTTTAGACACTGTTGTGAGGATTCAATGAGATACTTGTAAAGAATGTAGCACAGTTCCTGGACCATAGTAGGTGCTGTTTAAATGTTAGCTATTTTTACAACAATAAAACAATACTTTTCTTACTTCACTTTGCATCAGTTCATATATTGTTTGTCTTCCTATGCTTTTCTGTATTCATCATATTCATCACTTCTAACATATAGGAATATTCCATTACATTCACAGACCAAATCCTTTAGCTATTCCTCAGTTAATGGACATATACTTTGTTTCTAGTGCTTAGCTACTACAAAAATTTCTATAAGTATTTTGGAGAATTTGAGATTTTTCTTTTCATTGTCTTCTTTGTGGAATATGCTTAGAAGTAAGATTTCTGCATCAAAGCTATGGACAATTTAATCATTTTCTTAACATAATTCCAAACTGCTTTCCAGGATGGTTGAAAAGCCACCAAAAGTGCATTAACATGTCTATCTTTCTACAATCATTCCAATATTGTCATCCTTGCCAATTTGTTATGTATAAGGAGAGACTCCAGAATTGAGTAATTATAAATTATAGTAGGTCCTTAATTTTTTGCTTTCATAAAAGCAGAAGTGCTTAGCATAGTATCTGGCACATGGTAAGTACGTGATAAATGCTTGTTGACTGACTGACTAAAAAAGTATATTGGCCAGAAAGTGAAAACTAAAGGATTATCAGTTGCACAGTGAATTTTTACTCTATATCCTGAACCCAGAAGCAGCAATATATGAATTTCATAAGCTTAGCTTAGCTTCCAGTTTCTTTAGCATCTCTCTCAAGATGGTTTTCTGAAGTATAATTTGTTCAGCCAACAAGAATTAGTTTTTGATTTATACCTACCACTGTGCTAGGCATTCCGGTTTAAAAAAAAAGTTGAAGACATTCCCTACCCTTGGGGAATTTCCAATCTAAGCTAAAGAAGAAAAAAAACCCTTCAGACAAAAAACCTAAAGAATAAAATAGTATTATTATTCAGTGCTAGCTTTTATAGTATGGTCTAAACTTTTAATATATCCTTTTATGCCTGTGTTCTGTTTTCATTTTTAGATGGTTACACTCCCAACATCTTTAAGGAGCCAGCCTGGTATATGGCTATTTATGTTTCAACTTTCCCTTTCTGTGATTTTGGTAGAAATGTCCCATGGTGTTCCTGGAAACACATGACAGAAAGTGACCTGCCCATGGTCACACAGCTAGTATGTTGCAGAGGCAGGATTTGAATCCAGGTCTTCATAACTCCAAGTTCAGAATACTATCCCACTTCTTAGTATTGCCTCCAATTAAGTGAGTGTGTTGTTGCTTACTTTTATGTAGTTCAGAAGTAAACTTTGTAAACTAATTATATTTTTATTTCACCCTGCTATTATTAATTTTATAGACTACTGAAAGGGATTCCAACCTGTTTTTGCCATATTTAATTGCTAAATATTCCACTTGTTACAGAATTGACCTAGAAGCTATTTGTGTCATTTTGACAAAGTTGTTTTATGTGTGTACTATAGTATTGTCAGTTCTGTTCTTATTAAAATGCAAGAACTGTTGACTTTTGGTTCTTACATAATGAGAGCAAGGAGGTTTTCTGAGATGGTGGCAGATAAAAGGAAAGGTATAAAGGCACCTGGATGATTGCTATTATGTTTTCTTTAGCATCAATATTTCATGAGCTCTTCCTAGCCTTCTTTTACACAGTAGGATATAAAACTGCTCAGCAGGTTAAAACAAAAAGAAAAAGTAGAGGAAAAAATGGGAGAGACTGAAACAGGATTCCAAAGGGGTTGAATTGCAACTATATAGTAATCTATAATAAATGCAGCACTTAAGTATTGGAATTATCTTTCCAAGCAGTCATTTATAAGAGTACCCTATTTTAAGCAAAGCTCATTTAATGCAGTGTATCTGCATGAGGAAACAGAGATTGTATTTTTTCTTTGATCTTTACTTGTATGTCTATTCAATGCTTATACAGGAAAAAGAAAATGGAAAGTAGGGAGGCAAAATACAATGACATGAGCATATGGTTTCAGAGTTGTGACTGGTCTAGTGACACATTCTCCAACATGACGAATTTTACTTCAGTAAATTTCAAGTCCTAGATTGTCTGCAAACAATATTCTCTTGGTTGAGGACTGAGGGGCTGAGAATTAGCAAAGAAAAGAGAGAAGGGAAAAAAGGGAGTTCAGGAACAATAGGATAAAATTTGAAATCACCAGAGCTTCAAGAAGTCTCAGACTCATCTTGGTGACATATGCTAACATTTCTTGCCTTCCTTTTTTCTCCTGCCTTACACTACCCTAAATGTTGCCAGGTTCAATCTCACAGATTTCCTTCCCTCTAGCTATCTCCTCCCACTCAAATCACTGTTTCCTTTCTTCTAAAGTTGATGAAATTCCTTTAGAGAAGAACTTTTGGAAACAGATATACTCAATAAATAAGAAAATTTTCATTGGAACCAGATATTTAAATTCCCATTATGTCAGAACAATACCTTTCCTTACAAAGTAGTTCTGCTGTTACGAAGACAACGTCTTTTCATGGCTTAATTCTGAAGAACATGTTGATAAATCATATGACTTTCACCATTAAGATAGTTTCACACAGAACTATATTACTATTCTGCTGTTCTTTATAGGATATATATATTGGGATAGAGTTAATTTTGTTAATCAGACTCCTTTCTGATATCAATTTAGTAGCTTGGACCTCAGACAAAACTTGGTCCAAGGGAAGGGTAGACCTGGATTATGGGCAGAAAGACTACTTGAGATTAGCATAGAATTGGTAGAGAATTGTTTATTGGTGATTGTGTGTGTGTGTGTGTGTGTGTGTGTGTGTGTGTGTACATACATGTATAAGGGTCTTTTTCGGGTTTTTACAAGCAATGATGACATACGTACATCAGTAAATTATTGTCTGTTTCTCTGAGGCCTAAGGAGAAATATCACAGAAAGAGGTTGCTGCATTAGGGTAAATGAATTCTTCATTTACTAGAATATGAGTGTATATATAACCCCAGTAACTGCTTTGAGCTAAGTAACAGAGATAAGTGAAGAATGGGTCTACAACAGAGAACAAAATGGTAGATTTAATAATCATCCTCCAGGGTATCTGGGCCTTCCAGGGCAAGAAACATTTATTAAGTCACCTCCTATGTATAAGGCACTGTGCTAAATGCTGAAGTATAACAGAAGGCCTTCTCAAAGCTCCTGGGGGCATGAAGGGAGATCAGTGGGATTCATGGCAATATTGATTGTAGACAACAATAGTACTTCAAACTTGTTACTACCTTTGGCTATGAGGAAGATACTAGCAGTCTAGAACTTCCTATAGCAAAAGTAGTCTCTCCTAGCAGACAGGCCCTTTGACTGAATACACCTGTTACAAAGGAGAGTTTTATTTCCTTTCTGGCAATGAACAAGGTAGCAGTAGTGTTCTCCATGGGTGGCACCACCCATCACCTGGCAAATGGATAATCTTTTAATACAGGACTTTTAAAAATGGGCCCTATCAAACAAACAGAAATAATCCTGTCCATCTTGTGTTCCCAATATGTTTGTTTAATCTTGAAGAGACTATTGAAGAGTTGCAAATTTGACCTAAAACTGGTATAAATTATTAAGATATTTCCACCACAAAATGTGTGTGTGTATACATACAGTATGTATATAAATGCGAGTGTATGTATATATAATATACACACATCTCTGTGTGTATGTATATGCACATACAGATGTGTATATGTATATGTATACATACCAACATGCACACATGTATGCATGCGTATACGTATATGTATATGTATATAGCTTCCTGACAATCCTAATTCCTCTGTACCCTTTCTGGGCAGTGCTAAGTAATAAAAGAAAAGAATTATGATTACGGCCAAGAAATCGTGTTGGTGAAGGAGAATGTACAGCAATCTTTCTCAACCTTATCATTTCTCCTTAAATACCCAACTACACACCCATGCTTCACATTTAAAGCAGGTGCCAATCTGTGCCATTGAGATAATTAAGACTGTCCACTGACTGCTTCCTCAACCCCTTTATTCCTCACAACTTCCCAGCAGCATTACTCACTCCCCGTGCCTCTGTTCACAGAAGAAAAGGATAAGAAGAGATATCCCTACTACTTGCTGAAGCTAATTCCTCTAACTGTGCCCTTGGTTCCAATCTCCCCTGGCTCCTCCAGGAAACTTATCCAACAATCATTCCTGCTTATGCATGTTTAATCATGTCCTCCATGGGCTTTCACCCAATTTCATAAAATGAGCTCAAATCTCCCTCATCTTAAAAAAAACAACACCAGAAACAAAACAAAAATTCCCTTGATCCTTCTGTTCCCATCTAGCTATTACATCATTTTTTTCTCTTCACTACTAAGTTTCCTGCAAAAGTAACCTGATCTCCATAGCCTCTAGTCCTCACCACCCACTCTCTTCTTTCTGACTCTTTTGTGTAGGATAGTGGGGAAAGAGGCTAGAGGCAGTAAGAACAGTTAAAAGGTTTTCAACTAGATTGTATCTGTAGCAATTAAATGGAAGGGGTGGATTTGAGAAAT